ATCAAGCAGATTTTCTGAAACACTATAATAATCAATCTTTACATTTAAAGATTAAAAAATAAAATCAATAGAAAAGTTAAGATTTAAAGATTGTTTTAAAAAGTCAGACATTTTAGATAGATATTGTTTGAATATTGTTTGAATGTTTTAAACATTTTTTTTGCCCTAATGACCTCTAAATATGCCTTTATTACTCTCTCACAACCTTTTCCTTAGCATTTCCTTTGTTTCTGGCTTATGTCTGTTTTATACAAGAAGTAATTCAAATGCAACAAACATTTGAATTGTGTTACATTATATTATTATAATCAACTGATGGGCTGCCAAAGCAAGATACATTAAAGCAAACACTTTTACAATTAAAATAAAGATATTCAATGGTGACAATGTGCAAATGAAAACAATTGGAAAAGAGAATGGAAATCCACCAGTCTTCTCCGTTTACAGTCTCCAACGAAATTGCATATTCTCTTGGAAAGTGTCCAATTCCCCAGAAGCAAAAATTCCACATCTTACTAGCTATGATGACACCTTGTTTTTGTAGAATTCTGTTTTATAGAAGTGTTGATGCAACTGAAATTATTTTTTTTCTGAATCTAAGCATTTATTTATTCAAGAAGCATTATTTCATAGTCGGGTTTCTTTAGTAATGACATAGTTAACCATTTATAATAGAAATTGGTCCACTGCTAATCGGAAGTAACATCTGTGCAAGTAATCTGGGTTGGGGCACATGCTGGGAGGGGCAAATGCTAGGAATGCATAAACTAGAACAAACAGTGATTGTGCTGAATTTTCTCATTCACACATATACAACAGATAAATATTTAACATTTTTTAGATATTTTTAAATATTAAAGAACCAAATATTTACCTTGGCTGTTTTCCCAGCTGTATGACAGTCTTATGTAGCAAAGAATCTTGTGAAGACTGAGTAATATCCTACCAGCAGGGAAAGTATTTTTGGTTAATTACTGATGCAACATATGAAACAAAAATTAGTGCTAGGAATAGTCCAAGAGAGCCTGCAACTGTACTAGAATGAGAGTTGGTGATTTTGACCATGTGTGCTTGTGTGACCATTTTTAACGGTCAAGGTATAGAATGTATATATAGCATGCTCACAACACACTTGCTCACATTTAGTCCAATAGTTCCGCCTTTGCTGCAAAAGCCGGTCTTGGACTGAAATTCAAATATCCGTCCTATCAGCTGTTCAGGACCTGCGCTATGCGCAGTCGCATATCGGCTATAAGTGTCCTCATGAGAGGGGTGCAATCGGCATGGTCATTCCGCTCTCTTGTGCTCAGCTGTGGTGGCGAGTCTGGCTCTGATGTGTGAACCAGTAGATGCCCTCGTGGGACGTGTAAGTAACTCGTTGTACCCCCCCCATCTGGATGCTGTGAAGCTGGTTCTCTCACCGCACGAGCCAGTCCTCGCTGAGGTCTCAATGTCCGTTCGCTATCTAACAGTTGCGTGTGCCTGTCTCGCTGTGAATAGACACTCTGCATTGCAAGAGCCCTTTTATTATGTCAGCTGTCAGTAACTTCGGGGAAGGTGTAATTAAATTGGCCATTTCTTGCTCTCTTTTGTTCTGCTGTTGTGAAACTGGTTCTTTCACGAACGGACATAGATTGCACCCCTCTCACGAGGACACTTACAGCCGATGTGCGACTACGCGTAGCACAGCAGATCCTACGCACCGAACAGCTGATAGGAGGGATATTTGAATTTCAGTCCGAGACCGGTTTTTGCAGCAAAGCCGGAACTATTGAACTAAATGTGAGCAAGTGTGTTGTGAGTATGCTATATATACATTCTATACCTTGACCATTAAAAACGGTCACACAAGCACACATGTAGGTTCTCCTTTATTCTTAGCCCTTACTCTGATGATGTCAACAGCTAGTTGACGAAAGCTCAGTATTAAAAGGCTATTCTACATCCCAGAGTTCATTATTTTTATTCTTAAGAAACATGTCTACACCTGGGATTCATATATATATATATATATATATATATATATATATATATATATATATATATATATATATATATATATACACATATATATATATATATATATATATATATATATATATATATATATATATATATATATATATATATACACACACATATATATATATACACACACACATAGTAATTTAGACTGAAGAGCTTATTTCAGATTTTATTTTCAGATTGTATGTTCAGTGAAAATACCACCTCTAGTAGTTCACAATACAACTCCCATGTAGCAGCAAAGTTTCCAGAATATCTCCTCTATGTTTTATCTCAGATTTTTTTCCAAAGCAAAATAAAGAATTCCTTTCATTAACACCTTTCTTTCCTATGAACAAGTATTAAACTCACAAAGATGTAGAAGTTTTCTTAAAAAAATAAAACGGGCAGTTGGAAGCCAGTCTGCTTTAAAGTACTCCAGCTGACTCCTAACCCCCCTCCAAAAGGTTAGGGTGGAAACAGGGAAGTTATGAAAAGAGATCCTGGGAGTTGTGCATACATGCATATATTCTGTATTCAATTCTGCTGTTCTGTTTCCTGATTAAAAGACCAGTTCAAGTTTATAAATCATTGTTTAAAATCTATATTTTTATAAAGCTATTTTTTCATCAGCACAATTTATGGCTTCTGTAACAGTAACCAAGATCATATTAGCTGCTTTGGGAAACCCACCATTGTAAAGAATGGTGTTGCCGTGTTGTAGCTATACATTTCTTGGTCCTTTAGAATAAGAATGTGAGCAGATTCAGTGATGATCTCCTTCAAGTTCATTAATGAATGGAAAAGCCTGAGAATAAAATAAATACACCAACTATGAAGACTAAATTCAAATATTTTTGTATTAAATTTGCCATGAAATATTTTCTATATTAAAATGGACATGCCAGCATTAGACTACTTAAAACTTAAAACAAGCAAACAAACTTAAGTGATCTAAAACAAGACTCCAGATAATTAGATTCATCTTAAAGACTAAAACCTGTCAAGATACTTTAAAGCTTTTAATCCTTACCTCGTACCATAATCTACAACCACCCAATCTTTTGAAGTTCCTGTGATAGCATCATGATGCTGAAAAAGTCCCATATTTCTTCTCGCCTCTGTCAACAATCTGTAGTAATCTACTGAAGGAAAGATTTTTGTTTTCTCAAACTTTTTGGATTGTACCACAGCCAAAGAATATAGAATTTCTGCAGCCCTGAAATAAAAGAAGATTGCTTATTACAGAATTATTAGCTAAACAAATATGTGTTTAGTTGGACAACATTTGCAAGTTTGACTTGCATTTCATACAATCACTCAGTGCTGTAAGATGTGTTAGGAAAATATTTGATTAGAGGCATTATTTTGATCCTTTCATGCATGGAAAGCTCACTCTCATAAAAAAATCATAGCTTGAAAAACAAAGTCTGGGATGCATGCATTTAAGTATGAATATGTCTATCTTCTGGTAGCTTAGGCCTTCTATAATATTCTTCAATGGATAAGTGAAGTCACTGGGATTCAGGCAATGTAAACATTTTATAAACAAACAATTCCTTTAAACCTAAAATTGGATCTGACTTACTTCATTGTGCTTTATGGCAAAATATAAATTTAAGCATTTGTCATCATCATGATTACCATAATCCTTTGGAGTAAATGATACATGAAAAGCATTTGAAAATCCCAAAATGGTGAGACAATCATTTTCTTTGGTTGTCTCTAGACTTCTATTTCCTGGGAGGGGCACAGCAAATATATTACTTCTGTATGTTCACAACTTAATGAAGTAGTATTTTGCTCATGGGAATGCTTGGCATGCACTTTTGACTCTCACACTATTGAGCCACAACAGTTCCCCTTCCCTAAGGTCTGAGAATTTCTATTAAATGTTGCTAACTTAGAACCTGTCTGTCATAATCAGAAATGCAAAAAATAAAAGAAATGGATATTGTTTATATATCTTTGGAATTATGTTTTGGACAAACCCACATTTGTAGGCTGACTACCTGTAATCATTATATCCCCCTAAGCTTATTAATGGAGTGTTTTTGTTCTGCTCTATTGGGCTTGTGAACTGCTTCAGGATTAACTACAATGAGAAGTGGTATAAATGTACTTTAAATTGAATGATTATTTTAAAAACTTACAATTCATGATGTAATTAAATTAACAAAAACAGTTCAGTCAGGTTGTTGAGCACTTCAGAGAATGTTTAGCAGATTTAACTGCATTAACCAACAGGTGGATATGTACTTTCTCCTACAATTTTTAAGCTGTGATCTGAAAAATCCATTTGACTTTATAGCCTTCGTTGCTTGACAAAGAGAAGTACCGTATTTCATTGTCTGGATAGATTATTTCTTGATTTAACAGAGAACCTACTGAACTACTCTAAGAAACAAAAAGTCAAAACAAAAAAAAAAATCCAGGATTTTAATACCAACCAAAGGTCATCTATTAGGAAAAGTATGAGATGTTAACAAAATGAAATTAAATTTTGGGGAAAAGAGAGAGACTATGGAAGAAATAGTTCTTGAATAGAAGTACAATATAATAAAATAAATTCTGTAGAAAAATCTTCAGCTGAGATGTGACTAATGAAGTCAGTATGTTTAGTAAACATGGAGTTACTGTATTAGCTAACCTAATTGTAACTGGGATAATGGAGAATAGAGGGTCTGGAAAACTAAACCAAACTATTCAAGCAACATATATCCCCTTGTTTTCACCAAAAGGTAAACAAAGTAAGGTAGTTCATCATTGCAGTAGAAGGTATTAATTATCTAACAGTTTTTATAATATTCTACAATAGTTAAGATTTAGGCCAAGATTTGTTGCATGATTCCATTGTAGAATATATACGTAATAAATGCTGCTGGATTGACATAGAAATATAACAACATAATTACAGAAGCATGTGTTACTTGATAGCATGAGAGCATAAATATTCAAAATTACACCATTTACCTTAAATATGATTCTAGAACTCTATCTAAGCGTTTGTAGAAAGGTCGTGATGTAAAATATCCACTCCAATAATGATGATCTCTGTCTGCATAGGTGAAGAAATCTCCGCTCAAAACAGGAAATACTGAATTACCACTCTTTCCATCCAATTTGCCAGCTTTATGCAGCGCCTCAAAATAATCTGATAATGTTCCAAACTGAGCCTAGAGCAAATTAAAATGTGGTATAAATTCTTTACCATGCATTCAATTAGAACAGATTTTGTTCTTCAAGCAAACTTTGAGAAATCTATTGTTTCACTTCTGTAGCTGTGATTTCCTCGTTGTTCTAGGTTGGCCTACTTTAGTTTTTGTTTCTCATTTTTCTTTTCTCTATACAAAAATAACTTTTTCCATTGAAATAATAGAAAATATTTGTAGCTCGGGTTTTAGATTTTGGCAATGGTTTGCTCTCCAAGCTTGTTTCAATTTAGTTTCTGAACGTTTCATTACCAGACTAGGTAACATCATCAGGATTTTCTTGTTCTATTTTTCTTAGCTTATAAATGTCTTATGGCACATCACTGCCAAAACTTTTTCCATTTATGTTTTAATTTTTACTTCCCTTTGCTACTATAGCTTGTTAATTTCACAGGTGAACAGATGTGATGGGGAAGACTGATGTATATATTTTGCACGCAAACCATGAATTATCAAAATGTGGAGCACTGTAATGGGGAAGATGAGACAGATGAAGTAGGAACTTTCTTTTGACTTGAGGTTCCTACTTAGCACTTGTAGCTAGCTTATATCTTTTAAATTTTAAAAACAATCATCTAGGAAAAATAATATATTTTTTTCTGATAAAACCTAAACAATTTTCCTATTACCAATCTTGTGGCTCCCCACCCTTAAGCATACATAGCTGCTGCATGAGTAGTTTTCATCCCTGATATAATTTTAGAAGACTTCATTGATCAGGTCTGCATTATAGTGTATTGCAATTTATCTTATTCATTTACCATTCTTTTTCTGAAGATACCAGCACAATGCTTAGCATAATAAAGCAGCACCATTTATCCTAATTAATTATAAATCTATATACTACTAAAACTCTTGCATCGATCTGATATTTTGTAACCTTCAATTAGGCAAAATGTTGCATCATAGAACAAAAAGTTTGTCAAAAAAGGTACCTCAAATGGGCTAACTCACAAAAGGCTGGGACCTATTACTCATGAGGAAATGAAATTTGGGGATTTTTTTTGACACTGCTGTTCAGCGCAGCTGCTACATGAGCCATGATCACATGATCCCCATTTTCAATATTGCCTGACAACTTCTCAAAAGTCAACAGGAAACATGCTGATATATATGCCTATGCTCCAAGCCTTCTTCACACTCGCAAATTCTTTGCTTGTGTGAAGCTTGCAGGGAGAAAGCATTAAAAGTTAAGAAAGCCTTAAAGATTTGAATGTACTATTAAATTATATACCAGTATCAAAAATTTGGAACATCATAATTTTGCATGCAACAAAAACTGTATATATATTTGTGTGTTTAAACAAGCTGCAGTTAGTTTACTATCCCATCTTACATTCCGAATGTGAAATTCACTTACTTTGAATATGACATGAGTTTGTCTTAAACCATCATATCCATGATATTACTTAAAATGACATCAAAACCTTGAAGAAAACTATGTACAGAATCCCTCTTTTGCATAGAAGGAAAAGAAAGAAATGAGAGTTGCATAAACCTAAACTAAAACAGTCCAGTACAAAAACTGTAACTAACACTACATTATACCTAAGGATAAATAACATACTACCTATGTGACTATATTCTTGGAGATGTCACACAGATATGACTAAAATTGTTATGCTCCAGGCAACAAATTGTTATGATTTTAAAGCAATTGAAATAATAAATATAATCATTTCAATTAAATCATTGAAGTCCATTATCCACAAATTTTCAAAGAATTTTAGTTGTTTTACATAGAACAGAAGTGCTTACAAATACAAAATTTCCTGCATTTGAATTTAAGAAATAGCAAATCATGAAGCAGTTAATCTAATGACTTTTCATTCAAATCTAAATCATTTCAAGGTTATATAAATTCAACTGTAAGTCTACTTATATAGTTTCATTATGTTTTAATTATGAATAGTAACAGATAATTGTTTTAAAATTTGCTATTACTTTCATAAATTTTTACTTTGGGGGATTTGAAACTTAACATATATATACAGTCTCTGTGTTTAAAGTATTTCTAGTCCAGTTAAATAAGTATGAACTCTGACATCTGGACACATTCATATTCCTAATAATTGTGTGGAAAGCCAGCACAACACATTTATCTTTAAAAGTTTTAAACTGTGGTGTTAATACTCTGTAAAACTATTTTAAGAGAGAGTCATATGACTTGCTACATTTTTTTTTCCTTTGAGCTTAGTGAAGATTTGGGGGGGGGGGGTTAGAGAGAAGATAAAGTGGTAATCTGTTCTGTTAGCTGAAGTGATTAGTGTAAAATTTTATGACGTTACTTGAGAGTTTAATTTTCTTAGAGGAAGAAATAAACTACCTGACTTATACATAAAGCATATACTGTACAATTGTATAATGTACTAAGGAATAAAACTTTATTTCTAAATAGGTACAAATAAAGATTAAAAACTGTTAGACAAAGACTGCAGTTCCATATATTATACAACCCCGTACCGCAGGGGTGTCAAACTCGCCACGTCACGTAATGTGTCGTGACGTATCATGACTTTTTTCCCATTGCCGGAGCTGGGGTGAGTGCGGTTTCAGCATGACACATCCTGCTTGCAGGCCGGCAGTTTGACACCCCTGCTATACAGGATTGCAATCAACTTACAACCATTCATGTGATGACCATTTGAAGTTACAACAGGACTGAAAAAGTGACTTATAACCATTTTTCACACCTTTGCAGCATCCCCATCATCGCGTGATCAAAATTCAGATGCTTGGCAACTGGTTCACATTTATGACGATTGCTATGTCCCGGGGTCACGTGATCACTTTTTGCAACCTTCTGATAAGCAAAGTCAATGGGGAAGCCAGACTCAATTTACAACCTTGTTACTAACTTAACAATTGTAGTGATTCATTTAGTAGGAAAAGTCGTAAAATGGGGCAAAACTCAATAATTGTTTAGCTTAGGAACAGAAATTTTGGGCTCAATTGTGCTCATATGTCAAGGACTACCTGTACACCGGAAGAATATCTCACCAGAAACTGAGAATCACGTTTTAAAAGACTTATATATTTATTTGCTATGACAGTCCAGAAGCAAATGTAAAACTTTAACAAAATTTGTAGTGAAAAAATAATAATAATGGGTGTCTTAAGACCATCGCTTCTTACCTTGACATGGAACTCAGGATGAGAATTCATATAATCAAATAACTTCTGATAATTCTGATATTGCTGATCCCATTCTGAACTTTCAGTATAGCGAAAATCATCTCCTAGTGGAGCCAATAAAATTTTGG